AGCAGCACTCCAGTTTCGGCTACAGCAGTTTGCAAAGCCCCGGCTCTAGTCTAAACGCCTGTCAGTATAACAGTTGACGGACTTGACACAAACCACCTCTGACAAAACAGCGCCGACATAGCAAAGCAGAAGCAAAGCGACATTTAACGGAAAAGGAAAAAAAAATTAAAAAGAAATAAAAGAAAAAAATTAAAACCCGATGATGTCTAACAGCAAAACCCGAACAAGTGAGAGAGGAAAATAAAATTAAAAAATAAAACCCCAAACAAAACACCACCAAAAAAACTCCAAAAAGCTCCGCGGACTTCGACTGTAAAGAAAAAGATATATTAATGCAAACCAACGACGCAACCAACAGAACAGCGCTTTAAAAGGAAAAAAAACCCCAAAACATCATAAACCGTAAACGGACCAGAAAACTTTTGCAAGAGACACCGAAATCTGGTACATGGATGAGTTGCAATTTTTCTCTGGATTATGCGGGTTGTATGTGTTTACTTGAACTTGCACACGAGTTGGTGAGGCGGCCGCTTCCCCGCGGGGAGGGCGGCCAGGGCGGGGGACGCCTCGGTGGTGAGAGCTGGTGGGACGGTTCTTGGCCGCTTGTCGCACGGGAAGAGTTTGGTTAATGTTTACCACTGAGAAACAGAATCACACTCGGAAAAAAAAAAAAAAAAGAAAAAAAAAGGGGGGGGATATAATTCGCAGAGTAAATTCTGCGGGGAAAAACGGTTAAAATATTAGGTATGAAACTATTAAAAATAATAATGACAAGGGTCAACCACTTATATAAGGTTATATTTATATCTACCGTTGCATTGTGCCAGATCATTGTCCTTGGCCGTTGAATAAACTGTTTTTAAAATGCATGATTCTTGATGTTTTTTCTTTAGTTGGAAGCTATAATCCAGTCATTCCTGATACTAAGCAGCTCCAGGTTCCTACCTCTTCATCCTTTCCAAAAGACTGCAGTATCCTCGGTTGTGAGAGAGCAGAGAAACCCTCCAGCGATGCGAAAACTTCAGCATTCTCCCCGTTCAAAGTCTTATTCTGATAATGAAATTATCATTCATCTTTATTTAAACGCAGGGGGGTTTACTCTTTAAAAAAAACCAAACCAAACCAACAAAAAAACCAAACAAAAAACAACCCCCTTTTAGAGAGTCTAGGGAAAAAAAAAGACGAAAAATGGTCGGTTATGAAGTGAATCCAGATACTGCATCTCTGCTAGAGAAACAGCGAGCCTCGGCGTCCGGGAAGGTTGCTTAGCAAAGCTGAAAGCGTTCCTCGCTTTTCTAACTATAAAAGAAAAACGAGGAACGAAAAAAATAAAACCCAACCCTATCTTAAGGTGTTATTATCTTAAGGTGTTATTATGTAAATGTAGATACTTTAACAAATGCTTGTTGAAAAAAAAAACCATGGAAATGATAAATATGAACTTTATTAATACGCATACAAAACGCATATGAAGTTTAATTGCAGGCATATTTGTTGCTTATTTTTGTCGATACTTATTACCTGTAGATGACAAAGAAACATAATATAAAATGCACACGGTACTTCTTTCCCAGTGTATTTCACAACTGTGGTAAACGTTACGCTGGATGTTTCAATTATGCTGTTGTGGATAAGGATGCAGTATATATATTGTTTTATAAGTTATGTTTTGTGATTTTTTTTTTTTTCAAAATTAAGAGCATGGGAATAAAAAAGAAAACAAAACAAAAAAAAACCCGAAACGAAATCTAGAAATGGCTTTAATGTTATTTTCTGGCTGTTGTTGAGAGCTCAACTAAAGAAGAAGAAAAGCAGCTTTCTCCTCCCCCGCTCGGCGGGGGCATTTCGGGGAGGGCCCCTCCGCTTCCCCCCGGTAATTGCGCCGTCGCCCCACGGCCCGGCTGGGGAGGGGGTCTTGGTTCCCGCCACCCCAGGGGCAGCTCCAGCACTGGAAATCCTCCCGACCTCTAATTTTATGGCAGAATTTTACCGCTTTTTGGCTGCGCGGCGGGGTTGGCGGCGGCAGCCCTCCTGGCCGCCTGCATTTCTGCTCCCACCAAATAATCACGCCTCAAGCCGTGGGCTTGGGGGGGGGGGTTCTTCTCCCCAAAGAATTCAGCCCCGAACCCTGAAGCCCCCCTCAGCGTTTTGCAGCCCTGGGACAGTTCCTTCCCCCTGAACCGTTTCGCCGTCTCGTTGAGGTGCGTTTTGCTCTCGGTTCTCCGAATTCGCCGATACCCTGAATTTTAAAGGTTGTTCGATTTATTTTTTTTCCCCGGACCTGTTGCAAGGACAAAAGACTCTGATTTCTTTACTATTACGATTACTATCGATATTTTGTGGGAAATGCTCTAATTCAGCCAACGAATCCATTAATTACCTGTGGCGGGGGCGGAT